TGTCAGCAAGTTACAAAAGTATTCACTACTGTAATATGATGCAAGTATTGTATCATCACATCTAATTGGCAATTGATGGCTTCAAAATATCTCATCGTCAAGAAGTTTCAATAGTAGTCACTAAAACATCCAATTAGCAAGTGATGGACTGAAATGATCTTCGATATCAAGATGTTACAAAAGTATTCGCTACTGTAATATGATGCAAGTATTGTATTATCTCATCTAATTGGCAATTGATGGCTTCAAATTATCTTCATCGTCGAGAAGTTTCAATAGTAGTCACTAAAACATCCAATTAGCAAGTGATGGACTGAAATGATCTTCGATATCAAGATGTTACAAAAGTATTCGCTACTGTAGTATGATGCAAGTATTGTATTATCACATCTAATTGGCAATTGATGGCTTCAAATTATCTTCATCGTCAAGAAGTTTCAATAGTAGTCACTAAAACATCCAATTAGCAAGTGATGGACTGAAATGATCTTCGATATCAAGATGTTACAAAAGTATTTGCTACTGTAGTATGATGCAAGTATTGTATTATCACATCTAATTGGCAATTGATGGCTTCAAAATATCTTCATCGTCAAGAAGTTCCAATAGTAGTCACGAAAACATCCAATTAGCAAGTGGTGGACTGAAATGATCTTCGTTATCAACAGTATTTGCTACTGTAGTATGGTGCAAATATTGTATTATCACATCCAATTATCAGTTGATGGATCCAAATAATCTTCGTTGTCAGCAAGATACAAAAGTATTACCTACTACAGTATGGTGCAAATATTGTATTATCACATCCAATTATCAGTGATGGATCCAAATAATCTTCGTTGTCAACAAGAGAGCCACAAACTTTGCATAATTGTAACAAATGCATGAATTATCTCAAGAGGCGTGAAATTTATGAAGATCAAAGTTGATGACTTTGATATGGCATTCTACAAACAATATGTAGACATTGTATTTGAAAGATATCTTCATTGAAATATATTGGCTATCAACATTTTACTCAGAAGGTGGTGGTCACAAATATATATTGAAGATAACTACTTGGTACTTTTATATCCAAAAGCTATAATATTACAAGCAAAACAGTCATCTGTTCATAATTACTGCTCTGGAGGATTCAACAATGTAAAAACAATATATAAGGCAAATATACTACAAATATTACAGGGGTCGAGCAGAAAAATGAGACGTGAAGATCAATTAGAAGTGTGGGGTCACAAATATTTCAGTAATTATAGAAACACTGAAAATAACTTACTTGGTACTTTTATATCTACAAGCTATAATATATACAAGCAAAACAAGTCATCTGTTCATTATATATCTGCTGGAGGATTCAACAATGTAACAATACAATATATAAGGCAAATATACTACAAATATTACAAGAATCTTCGTTTAAATCAAAATATATAATGTTCTTATCAATGAAGAGGTACTATTAGGTACACAAGTCATCTGTCCATTGACAATGCAACAACACAATATATGAGGCAAATATACTATAAATATTACAAGGGTCTTTGTTTAAATCAAAATATCTAATGTTCTTATCAATAAGAAGTGCTACAAATGTGAAGATCTACAACTGAATACCATATTTCATTAATTTTATGCTAATATTAGTAAATGACTCAAAATATTCAAAAGGAGGATGAAATTATCTATACAAGTATGTATATAAGAATTGTTTCGTATAATTTTTTTTTCATTAGCTTTGTTTTTATTCATATGTATAACTAAATTTTTCATTGTGAAATTTAAAAGTATTTGAGAATATGGACAAAAAAGAAACTTTTGGCAGTATTCCGAATGATGTGATTAGATTTATAGTACATCATGTTAGAAAAGCAATTCAATGCAAACACAAAGTGTAGTTTCAGACCTCGAGGAAAGTTAGAACATTTGGAATCCCATGACAAATTTGAATCACTAGAAAAATCAATTTATTTATTTCCAGAGCAAATCTGTTTGTTCCCAATATAGAGACTGTGTACAGTCTAATAATTTTGATTAAATGCGAAAATTATAAAAAGTTATGACGCAACTTAAAGGAATTGTTTTATCAGTATGATGATTAGTTTGTAAAAATTCATAAATCAATAATACATATGATGAGCTTTTGTGCTTCTCGTAAATAAAGCCTGTGCAAGGTGTAACTGTTTATGAAATACAAATACATAATGAATTCTTTATGTGCACAATTGAGTAGACTTTATAATATTATTTTAAATATTGAAAAATCAAATGAATATGATTTGCAATTTCATAATTTCATATTCGTTTGTCTTGCATATTTGAAATGACGAATCAAGATCGATTTGTAAAGTTTTTTTTATAATTTAACATTTAATAATGGTAATAATGTTCTTTGTCTATTAAATTCATTACATACTTGGTAAAATTTGTCACATAATTTTTAAATAAAAGTGAATATACGAAAAGAAAATACAGTGATTAACATATAGAATCTCATACAATTATTTTTAAACAGTCGTAAACAGCAACTCGATTTACTTCAGAATCAATATTAAATGAACTAAAACATAATTTTTACATATGAGCTTATTGCATTAAAATAAATGATGTCAATCATTTCAATAAGATATATTTTGGAAAATCTGTAAAAAATTGAATAATGTACAACATTTTCTACTATCACAACATCGTTGTGTTTGTATTATTAAAATACTTTAATGAAGAGCCATATTTATATAGATGAAATTGATATTCTTATAGTAACACACTTGAACACAATATTGTTCAAGTGTTACAAAATGTAATTTTCTTTATTGAAAGTTAATAGCATTTTATGAATCTAATTAATGTGAATGAAAAATTAAAAATTGCAAGCCTACACTGAATGATGTGCACGTTGCTTATACATACAAATTTGATGAAATCATACAAGTTGAGTAGAATTATTAAGTGCGAATGCAAACTCAGTCCACTGTTGAATCATATTTGAATTTTAAATGACAAAGTTTCAATAAAAATACAATTTGTAGTGATTTTGATAATATTTAATAAATTAATTTTATTGTTTTTTTTTTAAAAAAAAAGCCAAAATAATCAATAGCAAAAATAGACCATCAATATTATATGATTTTGCAATTTTTAATAATTGCTAGCAATTTTTATATAATTTGTTCTACGTTTTACATATTTAACAATTAAATTAAATAATGCCCACATGTGAATGTTGTTGAATTTTAGGTGCATATTAATTTAACAGTTTTTATTTTTTAGATTGCAGAAGGAAATTGCAATGGGCTGATATTTTATATAGATGACTTTTACTCACATGTCTTACAGTTGATTTTTCTGCCAACGACTAGGAAGATTTATTGGACATACTAGTAGCAAGATCACGATTTGAAGAAATCGTCGTTTACATTGAGATGCTGATTGTATCAAATGGATTTATAACAAAAATCCAATTAACTTGGAAAATCACAAGTGCCGGCGCTACCGGGCTCAACAATATGGCAATATGGACTTGCCGACATACATATTGTGGAACATGTGCAGTCTTGAAGGAAATTACAAGGATGATGCTCTAGAAATTCTACAGTGAATCAAACAATGTGGACTGGCAGACATGCCTATTGGGGATATGTGCATTCTTGAAGAAAATGACAAGGATGATGCTCTACAAATCCTAGAGCAATGCCAAAGAATTGAGCCAAAGAGGCTGCAGCTTTTATTGAATTAGGTAGGTTTAGTTCGAATATTTAAAATGATTTATGTACTCTACTCTTTAAATAACAAAGATTCAATAACAAATTAATTGAAACAAACATAACAAATTAATTGAAAGAGATCATTGTTTCTTACAGTCAATTAATTCATTATATTCAAGTTTTTCATTTTTGATCAATATGAGATGTTAAATGATTTAGTTATTTTAAATAAAAAAGTAATATTTAAAAAAATTGACATATAATTTAACTCAATTTATTTAATATTTTAGACGAGGATGATGCCGATGCAGTTGCAATGTGAGCCACAGCCAATTTCATGATTCCCTGTTAATGAAATATCTCAATTTGGGCAATGCCTTCTGGACCCAGTGCTGGCGTAGAAGTTTCCCCAGTGTTTGCAAAAGGTAAATTTTCAAAAATATAATGTTTTGTATAAAGTTTCGTAAGTTTATACTTTTGAAGGAGAAAAGTCTAATTGTTTAATTAGCCGAAATGATTGTTCTTCAATTATTCAGAGATGAAATAACATAGTAAATTAATTTAAAAATATGGTTGAAATACTAGTTAAAAATAATATCTATTGAAATGCTGATGGCGCTAGTGTACATGTGACTAGATAACTTTTCAATGTCGCGATTGTATCCTAAATGTGACGCATTTAGTTAGAAGTCAAGTGTTAATTAATTTATTTTGCTGTTTATAAATGAGACAAACAAACAATAAATATATTGTACGATAATTATTTGTTTTTACATGTTAATATTATCAACTGTTGAAAGGAATTAGTAAATTAGTAAAATTTCCAAGTAATGAAAGCCAATTAATGTTTTGTGTAAAATGTGGTAATTTAACCTGCTGCCACATTGTGAGGAAATCTCTTCCAGTATAGCGTAATGTTTAATTGTTAATACAAATAATTATAAATACTTGGTATCAAATTATTAGACTGTAGTGTTTAATTTTAATAAATTTCCAAATTTACATGTTTTTTTTTTTCTTGCAGATGAGATGCACTTTGATAGCCCAAAAAGCAGAGTTGATGTGCCTTCTCCATCGAGTCATTGTGAGGGATTGATGCTAATAATGGAAATCAAATCATTGTTGAGCAAGACCCACAAAAGAATGTAAGCGATGAAGATGCTTTTCGGTGCCCCAAAAGAGTTGATGTGCCTTCCCCATCGAGTCATTGTGAGGGATTGATGCTAATAATGGAAATCAAAAGACAAAAATGCCGTCGTGTGCCTGAGGATTTTGCAACCGGGCAAAATATAAGGTAATTTGAAGAAATCAGTCAAATACATTGATCGACAATGAATATATATTATGTTTAAAATGTAATACACTTTGAATTGGAAATAAAGATATTGTTTAATTAAATGTACATTTTGTTTTTAATTTAATGCCCTTTGTTTACAATTTAATATATTTAGCTTAAAATTAATTATAATCCATTTTAAAAAACATTTGCAATAGTTTTTCCTGAGTTATACACAAATATTTAAATAATAATTTAAAAGCAATCACATATCTATTGATTTTAAAATAACTGTATTCAAAGTTTTATATAAAATTGTACTAATGTATTTTTTTTTTAATTTTCAGCAATGGCAATGATGATGCTGCCAAAGAATCATTGTTGGAGCAAGACCCACAAAAGAATGTAAGCGATGAAGATGCTTTTCGGTGCCCCAAAAGAGTTGATGTGCCTTCCCAATCGAGTCATTGTGAGGGATGGATGCTAATAATGGAAATCAAAAGACAAAAATGCCGTCGAGTGCCTGAGGTTTTTGCAAACGGGCAAAATATAAGGTAATTTGAAGAAATCAGTCAAATACATTGATCGACAATGAATATATATTATGTTTAAAATGTAATACACTTTGAATTTGAAATAAAGATATTGTTTAATTAAATTTACATGTTGTTTTTAATTTAATGCACTTTGTTTACAATTCAATATATTTTACATGCAAATATTTGAATTGTCATTTACAAGTAATAGCATATAATGAAAATTTCATATGGGATCATATTAACTTGGTTGTTTTTAATTTCCGATGGAAGCAACAAAATAATGTAAGCTTTTCATTGTAACTTTGCTTATTATTCAATAAAATAAGTCTTTATCTTTTATAGCATTTTTGATATAAAATAATTGTGAAACATATTTTGTAATTTTACTTTACATAGTCTTATGCTCATGGAATGAAATCGTCAACAATTCAACATATAATAATTTTTTCCCCTTAGTTTAACACAAAATATTAAAATCATAATATAAAAGCAATAAATGTATTAAGAGTTTTATATAAAATTGTACTAATGACTTTTTTTTTTTTAATTTTCAGCAGTGGAAACGATGATGCTGCCAAAGAATCATTGTTGAGCAAGACCAACAAAAGAATGTAAGGGATGAAGATGGTTTTCGGAGCCCAAAAATTGACGTTGCTGTTGAGGGAGTGGTGCAAGAACAACTGAAAATGTAAGTGTTTTTTTCTCTACTTTACACTTTGAATTAGAAATCAAGTTTTTTTGCCAAATATGAATATGCTTCATTATGAAATATAAATAATTTATAATTCAATGCATTTTGTTCACTGAATGTGATAAATTATGCTTAAAATTTAGAGATAATATCCAATTAAAAAAACATTTGAAATGTACTTAATTTATTATGTAAATATTTAAAAATTGCCATTTGCAATAGTGATAGTGTAAAATGAAATATTTTATGAAATTGTACCTACTAATGTTGCTTTTAATTAATAATAAAAGCATTTGATTGACACTTTAAACTTGGTTTATTATTCAATAAAATTAGTTACTTTATTAAATGAGCTTTGTTCATTATTAAACACAATGTTTAACTTTATATATTGAGTTTATAATTAAATATACTTTATTTTTAAATTACTGAAATTTGTCTTTAGTTTAAAATACTTTGCTTCTGTTGAATTCGTTTCTGACAAAAGATTTTGCTAATAAAATGTTTTGATTAAAAATTAAATGACTTGTATTAATTTAATAAATTATGTTTTGAATGTAATATTTGTAGTTTAATTAAATATAGTTTGTTGTTGATGGAATAAAAGAATTGAATTATATTTGTTGATTTCTAACAGACTTAATAATTTGTTATTTGAAAAATTTAAAATGAATTTTCTTAAAAAACACATAAAATAAAGTGAGACTGTTTAACTAATAAACGTTTTTTATTTTCAGTGCTTGCAATGATGACAACGTACTGTCCAAGAATGCCACAACTGATGCTCCCTAAGAATGGCAATCATGTATTGCGAGCAACGATAAAAAGTAAGTGTTTTATTTATACTTTGGACTTTGATTTGTTAATCAATAAATTTTTTCGTAAAATAAACCTTTGTTTTAAGGGGGTATTTTAGTGTAGAGCGACAAATTTTTGGTCATTTTTAAATTGTTGTAAAAGAAAGCAATCCATTTTTTTACAATTATAATTAATTAATATGCAAAACAAAAATAAAAAAATAAAAAAGTATCGACAATGAATATATATTATGTTTAAAATTTAATACACTTTGAATTTGAAATAAAGAAATTGTTTAATTGAATTTACGTCTTGTTTATTAAAATTGTAAAAACTGGCAACTGATGAAGTGTATGGTCTCAAAAAATTGGCATGTCAGTCTTGACATGATTTCAGCCTTCCTAGCCATCGAAAATGTAAAGAATGAAAAGATTATTAATTTACAATGATGTCGCAATTGGTTGAACTAACAATAAGTAAAAAAAAAATATGTTTTCACAAATTGGCGACTGTTTGAAAAAAAAAGTAGTTTTTTTGAGTTTCTCGAATGTTTTAAAAATAGTAAAAATAGGAATTTCGGGATGATTCTAGCTCAGACTATAGATAGATCTATAAAGAAGACTATCTGAAAATTTCAAATAAATTGGTCGAGTAGAACTCCAGAAATCGTGACAAGAGTATTAAAAAAGTAAGTTCTGAGAAACTTATAGATAGTTAGTCTTGGAAGACTATCTGAAAAAATGTTAAAGTTTTGTGTGAAGCCAAACCAGTATAGAGACCGAGTCAGTAAAATGCCTATATCTCCAAAAATACACTAGAATACCCCCTTAAAATGATTTAAAATGACTTGTTTGAATTTAATAGACTTTGTTTAGAATTTAATAGTTGTAGTTTATAATAGATTAGTTTTAATTAAATATCTTTTGTTATTAATTGAAATTAAAAAAAATATAAATATACTGTATTATAAATTCATAGTTAATGACTTGACAATTTTATTTACACTTAAGACTTTATTAATGTATTTAATTTTGAAAGAAAAGATTGTTTGAATAAAATGTTTTGATTATAATGGAAATGACTTGTTTTAATTTAATAGACTTTGTTTTGAATGTAATAGTTGTAATAGTTGATGTTAATTAAACATCCTTTTTTTTATTGGAATAAAAAAATATAATTATACGACTTTCTTTAATTTCTTATATAAAAATTCAAATTTGTAGTTTACTTAAAAATTCAATGAAATAGATTGAGGCTGTTTAACTAATAAATGTATTTTTTCATTTTCAGTACCTTTGATGAGTACTACCCACTTGCCACTGCCCAAGAATGCTATTACTGATGATGGTGCTTAAGAATGATGACGGTCCACCCCGAGCCACTGTCACTTGGATGGCGTTTGAAGAAATGTAAGTATTTATATTTTTATAAGTACTTATTAATAAATAGACTTGTATAAAATAAACTTTTGTGTTAAAGTGAATAAACTTTGTTTGGAATAAATAATTTAACTGAATTAATGAATGATTACAATCAAATAAAGATTTTTGGAATAAATTTAACAAGTTTTTTTTTACTTAAAAAATATTTAGCTAATATATTGTTTAAAATCAACTTTAGTTTTAAAGTGAATAAAGTTTGTTTGGAATAAATAATTGAACTTAATTAATGTATGATTACAATCAAATAAAGATTTTTCGAATTAACTTAATAATATTTTTTTTACTTAAAAAATATTAAAGTAATATATTGTTTAAAATAAACTTTTGTTTTGAAGTTAGTAAACTTTGTTCTGAATAAATAATTGAACTTAATGATTAATGATTCCAATTAAATTAATAGCTTTTGAATAAACTTTATAAATTTTTTTATTTGATAGTAGTTACTTGAAAAATATTTGATTGTATTTAACTAATAAATTTATTAATACTTATTAATTATTAGACTTGTTGAAAATAAATTTTTTTTGCAAAGTAAATAAACTTTGTAACAAATAATTAATTTAATGTAATAATTAATAATTAAATAATTCAAATAACTCAATTTGATTGTAATCATTCATTAATTAAGAGTTTTCGAATCAACTTAATAATTTTTTTTTAACTTAAAGAATATTTAAGTAATAAATTGTAATAGCTGGTGTCAATTAAATATCCTCAGTTTTTAATAAATTAAAAAAAAATTATAAATCAAGACTTGTTAATTTGTTTACTAAAATGTATTTTACTTAAAAAATAATGAAATAAATGAAGACTGTTTAACTAATAAATGTATTTTCTTATTTTCAGTGTCTTTGATGAGTACTATCCCAACTTGCCATTGCCCAAGAATGCTATTACTGATGATGGTGCTTAAGAATGATGACGATCCACCCCGAGCCACTGTCACTTGGATGGTGTTTGAAGAAATTGTGGATTGTTTGCAGCGATTATTAAATGTAAGTATTTATATTTTTATTAGTACTTATTAATGAATAGACTTGTATAAAATAAAGTTTTGTTCTAAAGTAAATAAAGTTTGTTTGAAATAAATAATTGAAATAACTTAATTTGATTGTAATCATTCATTAAGACTTTGAATTAACTTGATAATATTGTATAAAATAAACTTATTGTATAAAATAAACTGATTGTATAAAATATTTGACTTGTATAAAATAAACTTTAGTTTTAAAGTGAATAAACTTTGTTTGTTCAAGACTTTTCGAATGAATTAAACAATTTGTTTTGACTTTAAAAATATTTAGCTAATATATTGTTTAAAGTTTTGTTTTAAAGTGAATAAACTTTGTTCTGAATAAATAATTGAACTTAATGAATGATTTCAATAAAATGAATAGCTTTCGAATTAACTTTACAAATTTGTTATTTGATTGTAGTTACTAGTAGAAAAATATTTGATTGTATTTAACTAATAAATTGTTTTTATTTTCAGTAGCTGCATGCATTGGTTATACTTTGATGGCATTGAAGAATTGTGCAAACAAAGAGGGGAAAGTGGCTGCGAGCATCTACGCAAAGTAAGTGTTTTATTAATATTGTAAAGTATTAAAAAGTCGATGTTGATTAATTAACTTGATTAATCAACAAAGACTTTGCGATGAAATACACTTGGTATTTCAATGCAAAGTCTTTGTTAATTAATCATGTTGATTAATGAACAAGGACTTTGTGTTGAAATACACTTTGTATTTCAATGCAAAGTCAATGTTAATGAATTAACAAAGACTTTGTGATGAAATACACTTTGTATTTCAATGCAAAGTCGATGTTAATTCATTAACAAAGACTTTGTGATGAAATACACTTTGTATTTCAATGCAAAGTCGATGTTAATTCATTAACAAAGACTTTGTGATGAAATACACTTTGTATTTCGATGCAAAGTCGATGTTAATGAATTAACAAAGACTTTGTGTTGAAATACACTTTGTATTTCGATGCAAAGTCGATGTTAATGAATTAACAAAGACTTTGTGATGAAATACAAAGTGTATTTCGATGCAAAGTCGATGTTAATGAATTAA